AACCAACAATTCTGGAATAACTAAACAGCTTGTGAAATCCCTGTTTGCCTTTTGGTGTTTGGTAGCTGGTCTGAAGCTTAGAGGCTGACAGACCTGCATTTAATCTCATTTGCATCACCTTGCAGCTATGTTTTAAGGATATCCCTTACTCTGCCTTTTGTTTTAGCTGTCTTAATGGGTTCAGTAAAATCTTTTGTTCTTGTGGTATCAGATTTGGGGGGTCACTTTCCAAAACCTAGAGCAGTGTCTGATTTATAAATTTATAGCCCTCAATAAATAGCTGTCAAATCATTAAATAGTAAAATTTAGCATTCATTAGTTATCCATTTAGTGTTCATTAATTATCCTAATTGAGGCTAAGGACAGCTCACTTTACCTTAGTTTCCCTCTAAAACCAATAAACTTTCTGTACCAACTAAACCCTTCAGTCCTAAATAGTAATAATCTTCCCGACATCATGTTTTATCTCATGATGTACATCACTCTTATTTTAAGTAACTGCATTAAATTTTGCTTTTAATGGAACTTTGATGACAAAAAGAAGATCTAATAAATATAAGACAATCGACACAATATACTTGGGGAGTCTCTACTTTTACTGAGTCAAGAAGAAAACTGTAGAAGATTTAAAAAGATGCTGGCAATAGCAACATACAGAATCTAGCACTAGATGATTGAGTACAATGTTCTTCACAATATGGAAAAATATAAAGGGTTATAGTCAGTGTTTTGACCAAGTAACAAAAATGTGATAACCTTTAACTGTTCAAAGGAATTATTGTATCATTTTTGGGGAAAAAAGTAATTTAAACTATTCAGCATTCATATGTGGAGTAGAACTAATCTGTTTGCCCTACAAAAATATAAAAACAAATTTATACATGATTCTATTGTCACTTTATATTACCAGACTTTAATTTATCAGAAAAACTCATGTAGGAAAATATTCCTACATGTTTAACTCAAAGTGGAAGATTGGATTCATAAAAAGTGGGTACAGTACAAAAACCTGTGAATGTGACCTGATTTGTATTATCTTTGCAGATATAATCAGGTTAAAATGATATCAGTGTGGTGTACTGTAATCCAAACTGACTTGTCTTTGTAGAAGGAAAAAGAGACATCATCAAACAGAGGGAGAACACCCGTGGTAAGAGAAGCAGAAAACGTCAGCAAAGGAGCATCAGGAGTTACAGGTCAACCTCACAGACCAGAAAGAAGCAAGAAGTGACCCCACCTGGATTCTCAGAGGGATGCTGATCTAAGTTAGAGAAAGTAGACTCTAAATGTAAAAACAAACGTTCCCAAATGCTCTAATTGGTGATGTTTCCCACAGGAATATGGAATAATAATTCAATATTCTACATATTTATACTGATTTTAAATGGGTAAATTGTTATGATTTAGATCTGGAATATCTGCCTAGAACTCATGTGTTTGGAGGTGGAGCTTTGGGAACACGATTAGATCTCAAGAGCACTATGCTTCTTAGTAGATTGATCTTCTGCTGAGTTCAGAGCTAATTATGCTGGGAAGTGAGGTCAGAGGAGAGCACTAGGTCACTGGGGGCAAAACCTAGAAACATGTATCTCCAGCCTCAGCTGCTTCCTTCTCTCTGTCTCCAAGCTGCTGGGCATTGCTTCTGTGTTTGAGCCGACTGACCATGGGCTGAAACCTCTAAGAAGCATGAGACAAAATAAATCACTCCTCTCTAAGTCATTGGTGATGAGTATTTTGTCCCAACAATGAAGAAAGTAACTAAGATGCAAACAGGTATCATACATTAGAAATCAGGTTTCTCACTGTTGTTGGGAGAATTTAGATTACCAAAGAGAGAAGGCTCAAATGATCCATGTGTAATAAAACTAGATCAATATGAACTCATGCTTAGCTTAATATAGATACATATTTACATATAAGTATATTTTCTATACAAATGTGTACATACACAGCTTGGTATACACACATATATTTCTGTGCACTGTCAGCTGACATGGCCTACAAAAAAATGATGCTTCGGTAGAAAAAAGCATAACTGACATCCAGCTCTTGGTTTCTATGACCATTCTACAATAAAATGAACAAGGGCTCACTGGAGAAAAGGTGGTTTATGCTAGGACTGAGGCAGAAAATATAAAACATGATTCTAGAACGTCTTAGAGGGACGGAAATAGAAAGTGCTAAAAAAAAAAATGTACCCTGCATTGATGTCAAAAGAGAATAGGAACCAACTAAAAAGAACACCCAATAACCAAAACTGGAACAGTTTTAATAACAACATTAGCATTGTGTAAGATAAGTATTTTACAAGTAATTAAGCATCATAGTGCAAAATAAATAAATGTCAATAAGCTCACAAAAATGTAAGTAAATACTTGAATAAACTGATGAATACAGTTCATGAGGAGCACACTCACTACAAAAGAGAACAGTCTACCTGCTCAGGAGCAGGAAGGTCACGTTACATCTTAGTATGCTTCAATGTTGTATTCCTCATGTCACAGCCCCTAAGTAGAAGAATGTAAAAGGTCCAGAACACTAGACAAGCAATGTAAGTAGAATCCCCGTTTCTCTTGTTTTTTAAGGGAGTATATTTCAAAATACAAAAAGAAAAACTGATATGATATTAATTCCAACTAAAATGCTGCTAATAACTGGAATTTCCCATATGCTCATGATATTCTGGGCATTCATGGGAGTCAGCACCTGTCCACTAAGAGCACAGACTCGGGAAGTTCAAGTTCCATTTCCACCACTGACTACTAGTGTGACCTTAGACAAGTCACAAAGATTCTCTGTAACTCATTTTCATCTGCTATACCATAGAATTAATGATAAGTTCTGTCTCAGAGACAAATAGGTGAGAATAAAGCTCATAAATCCCAAATTGATGACCTTTGTTCAGAAGCAATATATTTGATAGGATGTATATATTTAAAATAAACTATTTTAATGATTCCTAGCATCATAATGTAGTGGTCTCTCAGTGAAGATTGATTATATAATTCAAAGTTTCTGTTCACTTTCACTTGTAATGGAGAGCTTGTTAAAATTATGGGCTCTTAGGAGCCACTCCAAACACATGAGTTATCTGGAGCTGGACTTAAGAGACAGCATCTTAAACAAGTGTTTCTGCCCTCTAAAGCATGTCAAACTGTGAAATAGTGAAATATACTGGTACAATGATGTGAATCCTAGTCCCCTATGTGGATGATTTATAGTGATCTATCTATCTATCTATCTATTTTAAGAATTAAGTGGAATATAGTAAATATTAAATATTTATCACCATCTTAGCCATTTTTACTACTACATATACTTTTCTTTATTTGTCTAAAACATAGGATTTATGTTAAGAGCACCTGGTTCCTGAAAGTTTTAAAGTCAGGTTAAAAAATAAGATTGACAAGTCTATATCATTCTGATTGGACAGATAATCTTGTCACACTTTGCCAGCAAACATATGAACACAAGTAAAAACCGACCTGCTTGGGGAAATAAAAAGAATAAACAAAAATTCAAATTTACTTCTTTAAATTAATAATGTATTCTATTGGAGAATAAATCACAAAAATATGAACTATTCATTCAATGAAACCTCCTATTCAAAGAAAGAGAATACAAATGGTGTATTCTCACACATTATCTCCTTAAAAGCAAATTACAGCTCTCTAGGAATTTTAATATACAAGGCATTAAAATCACAATGTTCTTTGCTATGAAATATGTCATAACATCACTTCATCTTTAATTTTGTCTCATTTCTTCTCTTTCTCTTCCTACCACTACATCTCAGTATTATACTTCTCTTCCACACTTTCTGTTGCATGAAGCCCTCTAAAGTTGTTGAACAGGTATTTAAATAAAAGTTCTGTAACAAACATATTTCTGAAAAATGTGTATTTGTGTGTAATTTCAGTCGGTGATTTTATAACCATTTAAAGTTTGACTTTTTTCAGTATTTATTTTCTGCTATCTATATTATTTACTTCTATATTCACTCAAACTCTGATATACATTTAAGCTGTAAAATGTACAACTAACAACATTACAGATGCAGCCACAGAAAGTGACCCAGATTACACAACACTGTGCATTAATGCCAAGTCGCCTTGTTTAACAGCAGCTGCTCTGTGATTGCCTTATTGATATTCAGATTTAACAGACACAAATCACATGGCACCTTTGACAAGCACACACTCTGTGTCTTCATTTCTAACATGTTCAATAGCTACGTCCCTCACAAACACACAGCCAAGACCATTTTGTCGTCTCTGATTTTCTATACCACTATATGTCTGACAAAATTATCCCAGAAACACTGCTCTTGTTTCTATCTGAGGAAGTTTGCAAAAATTACTATCTTCATTTGTAAACGGAATTATGTAACAATTCTGGGCAAAAATGATATTTTGAACTATTATCCTTTGGGAAACATGGAGACTACCTCTTTGATAGAAAGACCATATGTCGCAATCCAGAATTCTTTAAAAGTGAAGATACAAGGTATATCAGAAAGAAAATGACACAGAACTTTGTGACAACCTCCTTTTCAACGATATCAAATGTAAACTGTCAAATCTGCTTTGTAAAAAGTACAAGTAACAAAATAACCTTCTTTTCTACGTGATCATTTCATCCTCCTGTTCACCACTGAAAGAGTTTTTTAAAAAACTTTTTGGACCTAACTACTCAGAGTTATCATATAATCATAAATTTATGATTATCATATAATCATAAATTTATGATTATCATATAATCATAAATTTATGATTATCATATAATCATAAATCATATAATCATAAATTTGACTGTTCACATTAACTGATGTTGCTGAGTTGTTTGACACAAGGTGTTTACTAACACAAAGCAGAAATAAATACTTTTTGGCACTGTAATTTACAGAACATGCAACATTATGAATTACTTGCAAAAAAGCATACTAAGCCAGAAATAAACCTGAAAGTGTGGCAAAAGTTCATTCAATGGGAAAGGCTTACTCTGTATGTAGATGAGCAGTGAGAAACTGAGGTAGATGAGAAGAGAGTTGATTTTCTGAAGCTCCATGGTCTTATTTAGAGAACATCCTCTGGTCCGTTGTTAGTGGTCTGATCCCAATCTGGTTCCCTCCCTGTCTGACTCAGAAAGGAACAGGTGCCTCAGAGACCCGGGGTGCCATCTCTGTCCCACCACTCCTAAAGCTCCTTTCAGAGATTTAAATTCAAAAGGCAGTTAGCATCTTCCTTACACAAGAGGACGGGGTGATTTTTCAAACCTGGAACAGATTTTTGGGGGCTGGACTGGATTCACCAATTCTCAGGGTTCTGCTACTACTTTTTACTCGTTACTGATGCCTTCTCAAAAGGGCAAGCATTAGATTGTCATCTTCACTGGCTCTTAATAGAGAAATTAATTTCTCATGTCAGTCTTGGCACACAATTGTTATGATTGGCAACTTTCAAAGGAACATTCTACATTCCTGGGTATTTACATTCAATTCAAAACACAATTCACAGACCTGTAAGTTTTTCTGTGCCTAAACCCTACTCTCACAATTCATCCAGAATTCTGTTGCTCATAAGATAAGCCAAGATAGAGAGAAACTATGCTACCTCATAAAATAGACAGGGTTCTGGAGATTTGGGTATAGATTTTCTTCCTAAACCCACAGTCCATGCTACACCCTGCTGATGACATGATATCCTCTGGGATTTCTTGAATTTTTGTTTTATCATATTTGATCAATGAAAAATTTCCTTATTTTAAATAACATAAAACCATAATAGTCTTTTCAAATTAAATTGTTCTTTCTTCACTATGTTTAATCAATGTGAGTATTTCTTTAGTTTAAATACCATAATAGCTTTTTTTAATTGTTCAACACTTCATGTCAATATCTGCTAGTCCAAATTATAACCTGGTAAGTGTGAGTTCTAGTACATTGCCTTTTCGCATTATCAAAACAGGTCATGCCAGAGATACTGGCATGCTCTGTGGCATAGCACCTGCCTGGTGAACGCAAGGTCGTGAGTCCAATTCCTGGTACCAAAAATGAAAAAAAAGGTGTACTAAAACTGGCCATGTGACTTTAAATGTAATTTTTATTAAACATTTTGTGTAAATCTGTTTCTATAAAATGTTTAACTACATGACTTTTATTTTGAGATCTTTATATTACCTGCCAATGTATCTAAGTAGAACATAACATTTTGATAGCTTACTATTATTTTAGCAGTGATATTATCTGACCTACTCTTAGTGTATTTACTTACAAAAATAGGACATACATTTAAAATTTTAAGTCAGGTACCCTTGGAATGCACCTGTAGTTTCAGTAATTTGGGAGGCTGAGGTAGGAGGACCAGTTGAACCCATAAGTTTGAGACCAGCATGGACAATATGTAAAACCACATCACAAAAGAAATGAGTAAATAAAGTAATTGACTGTTTACAGGATTCATGAAAAATTGTTCGTACAAGAGTAGGTATTCACTTTTAGTTTTCATTTGTTTAAATTCTCCAAGGGTATTGGATTGTGTGTCCAATGGCCTTAGCAGGAAGGTTGCTTTGGAATTTGGCATGAACTGGCTGTTTGGGCTCCAGGTACCTATCCCCAGATCACCCTGGTTTGCCACTTGGAGTCCCTGTGTAATTTTTTTTTCCTTTGTACACATACGCACATCTCTTGACCAATAGAATTCAGTTTCACCTGGGGCATAAATTCCTTCAATTTTAAGAAGTGCTGTATGTTCTCTTTGGTGCTGGAGACCCCAATTAAAGCCAGCGAAAATGGTCTTGGACTCATCTTCCAGAAATGACTACCCTTTGGAAGTCCTGTTCCCAACCCCTCTCTGGAGGTTCCACGATAGTGTGCCACTAGCCCTGTTTGGAAAATTTAACTCAATATAATTTTAGACAACAGGGGTCCTGTTATTGTTTTAATACTTTTGTCATGTTTTGTTTTGTTTTGTTTTGTTTTGTTTTTGAGGTGAAAGTCTTGTTATGTTTCCTAGGCAGGGCTAAAATCAAATTCTCTATTTTCAGCCTCCTGAGTAACTAAGATTATAAGCATGCATCACCAAGACCAGCTCTAATATGGTGTCATTAATTCTTTACTCTAGTCCCTGTATTTTGTCAATTGGGAAATTGAGATGCAGGGCAATTTGAGAGCATTTTTAGACTTATTTGCTAATTTGGTTGTAATGTCAGTACCAGAGTGTCCTTATTAATGTCCTCCATTATGGACCTGATATCTAGGAAAACTAGGGATAATCTGTACCAACAAATGATAAACTGAAGAGATGATAGCTCTAAGCATAGACCCTCATAACAGAAAATCTCTGTTAAGGCATATTTAATTATGAGTGTCACAAAGAAACAAAAAATTACAATTTCTCAAAGGACAAAATTATCAGAGAAAATAAACAGATAGGACAGTGTGTTACACAAAGAATGGTCATAGATTATACAAAATTTAAGCATAGAAATTAAGAGATTAAGGCCATTAAAACTTGAATGAATCTCTACTATGTGTTACAGTAGGGGATAGTTGAGAAACTCTTTATAAGATATGCAATTTTCTTGATAGCTGGAATTTCAAGTATGCTATGACCTGAATATTTATGTTTCTCCAAAATTCATGTTGAAATATCATCTTCATATGCTAGTATTAAGAGGTGGAGCCTTTTGAGACAGTGATTAGAATATGAGGGTTCCACCCTTGTGAATCAGATTAATGTCTTTATAAAATATCCCTAAGGGAGCTTGCTTATCCCATCCTCCTACCTGTGAGGACATATACAAGGCACCGTGTCCAAGAAACAAATCCCTCACCAGACACTGACCCTGCTGGTTCCTTGATATTGGACTTCCTAACCTCCAGAACTATAAGAAAGAAAGGTCTCGTGCTTATTGCTTACAAATTATCTAGTCTAAGGTATCTTATCATAGCAGACTGACTGTATTAAAACAGACTACAATAAATACATCAAGGGGAATGGAGTTGAAATATTTTAGAAAAAGAGTATGCATATATAAATAGAGGAATGAAGTATAAATCAAGGAACTACAAATATTATTCTGCTATAGATGCACACATATGGAAAATAAATGTTAGGAGATAAGGCTTAGGAAATCCACAAAACCAAAGTAGGTTAGAATTCTGTATGAGGAAAGGAACACATTAACAGGTGACTTCACATAATATGATCTGTGTTTAAAAAGATAACTCCAGTAATATTGTGACAAAACTAGAGGACAACAGACAGGAATGTCAGAAATCATTGTGAAAGAAATTGTCTACAAGAGAAATGGGGGTAAGGGCAGAAAAGTAGTGACAGTAGAAATGACAAGGAAAAAACAAAATAATTGTAAACTAGATAGATCTAAAGATCTATACGGAGAATAAGGGAATAGATAACCTTTTTCCCCACATTTTTGGACTTTGGCTTATGTACTGATTGTACTGTCACTCAAGAATGTACAGAGGATTATATTTCTCTGGAAGAGATCTTTTTCCTAAATAATTCTAAGATGTTTTACAGGTTTTTAGTACTATATTCTATGAGCTATGAGAAAAGAAGAAAGAAAAAAAAACAATTTTGTTTTATTTAAAGCAAAAATGAAATATAAAAAATTTTCCTCAAGGAGCAAAAATTTTATCTCATATCTAATTTATTCACTGTGGATAAAAAAGAAAGGAATTCACACTTAGGTGGATTAAAATTTTTATTGTAATGAGTGTATTTTAATTGTAACAATTAATAGAATTCACTGTGATGTTTACATACACACATGAATTGGCCATGTCCTTCCACTCTATTTTTTCCCTCTCTTACACTCCTGTTTCCCTAAATTCTCTTCCCAGCCCCTAATTGTCCCTCTTATGCTTTCATTTTTGAGGTTTATTAAACATAGAAAATAGATAATCTATTAACATGGATATCTATATGACATAATCTATTACATATGCATAAGCTTAATAGTTATTAAAGCTACAATTGAAAACGAAAAAATGATTTCATATATGATTCTGAAGCTCAGGAGAAAAATCTAGGTTAGAAATGCAAATCTGCATAATGGTGAAATGTAAAGATTTTTAGAGAAATGATAACACTTTGGTGTTAAGAGTGAATTATGTAAAAAGAAATAGTAATACAGACTCACCCAGGTCAGTAAAATAAGCTTATGAATAGTAGAATCCAAGGGAGATAGTTTCTTAGGAGACCAATAATAGAGTTTCCTAAAAATACAGTGATTAGCTGGGTCCTCTACTGTTGATCAAAAGAAGCTAGGAATTGGCTGCTGGCTTGGTGGCATGGAGGTAACTGATGACTTTGAGAAGAGAAATATCAGGGTGCTCAAAAGAAAATGCTAAGAAAAAAATGCTTACAGAAAGAAAAACGCTAAAAATTTTGTTGGCAGAGAGCAAATAATTGGGAGAAAGTTGAGATGCAATAGGTAGATAAAGACATAGATGATAAATATATAGAACTGTAATTACTAAGTATTCTATAATAATATGCGATACATTATAGTATATATGATATCACATTTAGAAAAATAGATTCATTGTAATGTATAAAAGATATAATACATATGATATCATATAGAAAATATATTATTATTGAGCATTGAATATTACAGCATATATTATTTTTAAGAGTAATGACCCAGTAGTCAGAGAAAATTGCTAACACTCTCCACTATTCCACAGCAAGTCAAGTAAAAGGATTTGTTTTGTGAGCTGTATTTTCATGAATAAATCCATATCATCCCTGCACACTGTATTTTTATAACTTCATCAAATCAGTGCTAGGAGCATTAGATTTAAACACTCATGAAACCTACACTATCACCTCCAGTACCTTTTCTTCAGCTGTTGGTACTTGTTTTGTTTTGAAAGCATAAATGAATTAAGTATAGGTCTCTCCATTTGCTTTGAGTATTTGGGAACTTACAAACTTCTTTCTATGTTCAGAATTGTTCTTGGCTTGCTCATTTTTTCAAGTATGAACAGTATAATAATAAATGTTCTATACTAATATACTTAGTGACCTCTGGATATAAGTGCTCATACTGAAGCCAAATACCATTAAGTAGACAGTGTAGAGCTGTTTGATACATGTTCATGGTACTTTTGATTTTTCTATAATTTTGGCATCCTGACAATATTGTGACTATAATATTCAGTATTTTAAGCAATAAT